GAACTCGAAACGAATGAAAAGTATGAGAAGAAAATCCCTACACCTGTTCCGCTTCCCATTAAAACGTCTATATGAAGTGAATAATAATTGCTGCTTATTTGAGAGGCTTTTCAGAAATGACGACATATTAGCTTGTTACAAACTTAAGCTATAAATATCAATGACCTTAAATTTTATCAATTTGTAGCCTGCATATGTATAAAAATAATTCTATTCACCAATGTCTTTCCGGAAGTAATAGTAAAAATTATTGCGCTTTAGCCCTAGACTACTGACTTTGCGAACGTTTTTTTGAAGAATTCCAACAACGTCTGTTTATATTGCTCTATATAAGGTGACGCCAGGAATGTCAGCCTCGGTGTTTTTCTCGTGTCTAGGTTTCAGCTAGCGCCCTGTTACGATATGGATCCCTAATTATAACTTATGTCAGTCTTATAGCTTATTTGTTGGTGATGTTTTTACGTCGGAGAATCTCTATGATACTATTGGAAATGTTTCCTGGAGTAATTTTCATTTGAGTGTCTAAAAGTAATTGGTTTTGCATCAACTACACTACACGATTGACTTAAAAAACTCACGCCACTTTTTCATCCAATCAGAAGTAAAACAAAACCAATCGTGACTCGCTCGCTCACGTTTTCCCGCGCTTTGTGTCAGCTACACGTAATTACTTCGAGCTTTGATTGGTTCACTGGATTTTCCGTGTCCTTTGTGATTGGCTAGAGTGATTACTGGTTTTCCGACACTCAATTGAAAACTGCTCTTTGTGTAAAACTGAGAGCCATTATACGTAAACTCTCTGTTACTTAAGTAGACCACAAGATAAGACTTAAGTTTGTTTTCATCCTACAGACCTCGCTCTGTGTTTAAAATTGCTATGTCTTTGACACTGTGCTCGGCATCTCGCTGTTATATCCTCTTCCCCCGTTGTATAACCGCGGTCTAACATTGGAATAGTCAGGTCGCGGGTTGTTGTTGATTGACACGCTCCCCCGTCGTTCGGGTGATGGATTTTCCGTTGTTTTGTCCTTCACGGTGTTTGCTTCACTAACTGAGGACAGCCGTGACCGGACGTGAGAGTAGTCGTTTTTGAAGTTAGGAATCTTTTTAACGCTTTTCTTACGCGCGTAACTACCTGAGCCAGTGTCGATTTTGGACGCGGCATTCCATTTTAATTTGCCATACGATCCTATCTTTTTGCGCCTCCTTCCTTTGTTCTTCCTTGCACCGTTGGTTTTATCTTCTTTACCGTCGTCTTCGTCTCCATCGCCTTCATCTTCCTCCCCATCGTCATCGTCATCATCGTCAACATTGTCTTCGTCTTCTTCGTCAATCATCTCAATGTTTCTTTCATTATCTTTCTTCCCAACCGCGTTCCCAGCTCCGCCCTTGGGTGCGTCGTTTTCTAGACCTTTGATCTCTTTAGTCGTGTTCTCGCTCTTTGTTGATTCGTGGTTCACAGTTCTGTTGTCTGATCTGATTTCTCCGTTGTTATTACTCATATCTTCACCACGCTCATTGTCTTTGCCATCCGTCTTTCTCCCGTTCTCATCTTCTCGTAACCCACTGTTCTTGTTGTCATCTTTATTGTTGCCATTCCTGAGAAGCCAACTTGAAACTTTTCCGAGAGCGTCTTTTTTACCTTCGCTATCCCCTTTTGTTTCTGTTTTCTTAGGGGCAGATGTATTTTCTTGTTGAACGGACACTGTCACGTTTGTTAAAGAAGCTCTCCGGCTGTCCTCTGTGTTATTTTTAATGCTTGTTGTTTTGTTGCCTTCACCATTTTTTTCTTTGTTGTCATCCAGCCTCCCGGACCCAGTAGCCCCTACTGAGGCCTTTTTGTTCGGTTTGCTTTCGTTTTTAGACGTTTCTGAATGATCATCAAACAACCACGATCCGTTAGGTCCAACGGAGTTTTTCTTTTTGCTTCTATCCTGCGTCTGTGTCACATCTGCAGGTTTCCCGGATGTAGTTTCCATTCCATCGCCAGAGGACGTGTCCTTTGCCTTTGCATTTGGTTTGGAGGGACTGGGAGACACCGGAGGGGGAAAGGAGAAAGTAGATAACTCAGTCTTTTCATCTGGAAGGGGCGTGGCTGGCGTTTCAATCAAGAGAATCTTTTGCGATCTGGGAGAGGTTTTCAACGCTTCCTGTAGCAACAAAAATGTTCTTTTAGAACGAAATTAAGTTGAAATGTTACAAATCAAGGTATTACAAATACAAGTTTCGCTTTCGTGGCTCGCACAGTTTTCTCTCCAACCTCGTACAGAGGGTCTCTTTCTTCCGATTCCACCCCTCTCTCGCTCAGGTAGGGCAGGAATAATAGAATCCCTGAGAACGAGGTTGAAGATTCTGGCGTGTCACAACCATATCTCGGTCCCAGAACTCTATCCTTTTGGCCACAATTATTTTTGGTAGATAGTTACTAATTTCTCTGCCTCTGTACCAGTTCAAAGCTTCAAACAAAATTTTACGGCCAGTCCATACCTGTTCCAAATAGCCTGCATATGTATAAAAATAATTCTATTCACCAATGTCTTTCCGGAAGTAATAGTAAAAATTATTGCGCTTTAGCCCTAGACTACTGACTTTGCGAACGTTTTTTTGAAGAATTCCAACAACGTCTGTTTATATTGCTCTATATAAGGTGACGCCAGGAATGTCAGCCTCGGTGTTTTTCTCGTGTCTAGGTTTCAGCTAGCGCCCTGTTACGATATGGATCCCTAATTATAACTTATGTCAGTCTTATAGCTTATTTGTTGGTGATGTTTTTACGTCGGAGAATCTCTATGATACTATTGGAAATGTTTCCTGGAGTAATTTTCATTTGAGTGTCTAAAAGTAATTGGTTTTGCATCAACTACACTACACGATTGACTTAAAAAACTCACGCCACTTTTTCATCCAATCAGAAGTAAAACAAAACCAATCGTGACTCGCTCGCTCACGTTTTCCCGCGCTTTGTGTCAGCTACACGTAATTACTTCGAGCTTTGATTGGTTCACTGGATTTTCCGTGTCCTTTGTGATTGGCTAGAGTGATTACTGGTTTTCCGACACTCAATTGAAAACTGCTCTTTGTGTAAAACTGAGAGCCATTATACGTAAACTCTCTGTTACTTAAGTAGACCACAAGATAAGACTTAAGTTTGTTTTCATCCTACAGACCTCGCTCTGTGTTTAAAATTGCTATGTCTTTGACACTGTGCTCGGCATCTCGCTGTTATATCCTCTTCCCCCGTTGTATAACCGCGGTCTAACATTGGAATAGTCAGGTCGCGGGTTGTTGTTGATTGACACGCTCCCCCGTCGTTCGGGTGATGGATTTTCCGTTGTTTTGTCCTTCACGGTGTTTGCTTCACTAACTGAGGACAGCCGTGACCGGACGTGAGAGTAGTCGTTTTTGAAGTTAGGAATCTTTTTAACGCTTTTCTTACGCGCGTAACTACCTGAGCCAGTGTCGATTTTGGACGCGGCATTCCATTTTAATTTGCCATACGATCCTATCTTTTTGCGCCTCCTTCCTTTGTTCTTCCTTGCACCGTTGGTTTTATCTTCTTTACCGTCGTCTTCGTCTCCATCGCCTTCATCTTCCTCCCCATCGTCATCGTCATCATCGTCAACATTGTCTTCGTCTTCTTCGTCAATCATCTCAATGTTTCTTTCATTATCTTTCTTCCCAACCGCGTTCCCAGCTCCGCCCTTGGGTGCGTCGTTTTCTAGACCTTTGATCTCTTTAGTCGTGTTCTCGCTCTTTGTTGATTCGTGGTTCACAGTTCTGTTGTCTGATCTGATTTCTCCGTTGTTATTACTCATATCTTCACCACGCTCATTGTCTTTGCCATCCGTCTTTCTCCCGTTCTCATCTTCTCGTAACCCACTGTTCTTGTTGTCATCTTTATTGTTGCCATTCCTGAGAAGCCAACTTGAAACTTTTCCGAGAGCGTCTTTTTTACCTTCGCTATCCCCTTTTGTTTCTGTTTTCTTAGGGGCAGATGTATTTTCTTGTTGAACGGACACTGTCACGTTTGTTAAAGAAGCTCTCCGGCTGTCCTCTGTGTTATTTTTAATGCTTGTTGTTTTGTTGCCTTCACCATTTTTTTCTTTGTTGTCATCCAGCCTCCCGGACCCAGTAGCCCCTACTGAGGCCTTTTTGTTCGGTTTGCTTTCGTTTTTAGACGTTTCTGAATGATCATCAAACAACCACGATCCGTTAGGTCCAACGGAGTTTTTCTTTTTGCTTCTATCCTGCGTCTGTGTCACATCTGCAGGTTTCCCGGATGTAGTTTCCATTCCATCGCCAGAGGACGTGTCCTTTGCCTTTGCATTTGGTTTGGAGGGACTGGGAGACACCGGAGGGGGAAAGGAGAAAGTAGATAACTCAGTCTTTTCATCTGGAAGGGGCGTGGCTGGCGTTTCAATCAAGAGAATCTTTTGCGATCTGGGAGAGGTTTTCAATGCTTCCTGTAACAACAAAATTGTTCTTTTAGAACGAAATTAAGTTGAAATGTTACAAATCAAGGTATTACAAATAGAAGTTTCGCTTTCGCGGCTCGTACAGTTTTCTCTTCAACCTCGTTCACAGGGTCTCTTTCTTCCGATCCCGCCCCTCTCTCGCTCCGGTAGGGTGGGAAGAATAGAGTCCCTGAGAACGAGGTTGAAGATTCTGGCGTGTCACAACCATATCTCGTTCCCAGATCTCTGTCCTTTTGGCCACAATTATTTTTGGTAGATAGTTCTTAATTTCTCTGCCTCTGTACCAGTTCAAAGCTTCAAACAAAATTTTACGGCAAGTCCATACCTGTTCCAATGCAGAATTTTTCTGTGTATTTACAACAAGCCCACGTGGCTTACGTGCGTCAAGCTCTTTACGTAGCCTTGCTATTTCGTCATCTTTCTGTGGAACAGAAAAAAGATATATTGTTGGTCATATTTCATTTAAAATTGTATAAATGAAGTGAATCTGAACAAATGAAGCGCTTGTTCAGTCATTCTCTTCTTTCCCGAACAGGCTTCCGGCGAGGGCGAAAAAAAAAATTCGGCGAGCGAAGCGATTATTTTTTCGCACTCGTCGATTCGCCATCTTTTTTCCGCCCTCGCTTGGAACCTGTTTACAGGTTACTGTCCCGCGCTCTACGTAGGATTTGAACCCCGGGCACATTTAAGCCTTACACAGAGCGCGCGGGGAAGGAAGATCAGAGTTCAGAGACTGGACGTTTGAACGCAAATTGATATCTAAGTAGTCATTTCGAATCGATTCGACCATATATAGCTTATCAAAACATAACTGTTCTGGTTTACAGGTAGTTAAGTTTTTAAGCGTCTTCGAATTATATCTAAAGTCGACTTGAAGT